GTCTGTGGGTCAGGGAGGGGTCTGTGGGTCAGGGTCGTCTGAGGAGGAAGCATATGAAGGGAGTTGCGCACGGGAACTTTTATTTAAGATTTAAGTTTTTTTTTTCAATGCTCCTTCTGGCTCAGCAGCAGAAGCATAAATATTACTGTTAAGAAAGCTGATGATAAAGTTGAATAAAAAATCTAACTCTAATTATGAAGGTAAATTAAATATCTGACAGTGATCATTACACAGTGTTGCTCTAATTCTTCACTTCACCATCTGTGTCACAGTTTCCCGTCTCCAAAATGAGCGTACACATGGGTCAGAGCTGGCGTGAGGCACCGCACATTTTCACGTCAAGTTTGGATTTTATAAATCACAACCTTGGCGTGAAAAGTGGCGTACGCAAGTTTCTGGGCTCATATTGTGTGTTTCTCCATGACTGAAAGAACAAGATCCTGGCTACAAACAGCTGAATTGAACTCAACCTTACATATAAGCTTTATTATCAGAGGAGCATGTAGTAAAGCTGCTGCTCCTCTGCATCAAAAGAAGTCAGCTGAGGTGGTTCAGGCATCTGTTTAGGACGCCTCCCTCTAGAGGTTTTTCAAGCGCATCTCACTGAAAGAGACCTTGGGACAAACCTAGAACTCCCTGGAGAAATGATATGTGCTCTCTGACATGGGAACACCTTGGGACCCTTTAGGAGGATTTGGAAAGTGTGGCCAGGGAGCGGGATGTCCGGGTTTCCTTCGAGGACCTGACATTGGATAACCAGAGGAAATGGATGGATAGCTGGAAGGATGATTTAAAACAGCTTTTAATTTCCTATTTATCTTATTACTATGGAGTACTTGTGAAAACTGAACACATTTCTTTGCATGGTCACCTGGAATAAAACAGCAACATCCAGTAGCCCACAGCAGAAGAACCAAGGGAAAACTCATTCTTAGTGCTCTGAGAACTCACTTTTCCAAGTTTAATTATATTTCTCTTTAAAACAAATAAAACTCCAGAGTCACATGAGAATATTCATGAGTTTTAAGGAAATATTTGTCAATTTATGGCAATTTATCTAAACAACTGGTTATTGCAAAGATCTAAGGAACACATTACTGACTAACAGGAACAATGAATCTGTGACGCTGGTTCAGTTCTCTCTCCTCACCTTGTCGTGATCAATGGCCGTGTCTCCAGTGATAACGATTCGCTTTTCAATTCGAGTCTCAGAGATCCCTCCTTTTACCGTCTAAAACAGCACAAAAACAATACAAAATAAAGACAAACATTAATAAAAAAACATTTTGAGAAATGTTTGAACACAGATTGTAGCTTTTTAAAAACCCTGAAGAGAAATAACATCATATTAAACATAAGGTTTGTCAGTTTTAGTGTAGAGTTAAAAGGAAAGCACAATTGGTGAGTGCTGGTTATGCAGTCTGATAAAGTGTTGCATTTGAAAGATTTTAGAGATTATACAGAAAATAACTGAACCAACTTCAGGTTATTTAGGTATATTAGTGTTGTAGCGACAACATTAGAAAGTTTATATACAGTAATTACAACAGTATATTAGAA